GGCTAAGAGTTTGAAGCCTGGAATAAGCTGTCAGCATCATGTTACATGGGCTGGGTTTTCAGCTGTGGGKTAGAGGCAGCGACACGCTGTGCTAGTTCACCTCTGCTGAAAAGCTAACGGGTCTTCTCCTACCAGAAAGCATCTGGCAAAGGAGGGTGAGTGGAAATCTAGAGTGTATTTCAAATATCTCYGTATCAGGATTCAATTTCTTAGAGCCTTCTGTGCCAAGAACCGTCCACAAAAAGAATTTCACACTGAATAGATGGTAGGCRTTATATCTTACAGGTTTTATTTTTGAAAACAAAACAAAACAGAACTTTGCAGCAAATATAGAAATGTATCTCATATTTTGTTACAAAGTGCTAGTGTCCTACTAAGGAACTGACAGTCCTACGGGCTATAAGTTGGTTATGGAACGCGCAAATGTAACTTTGCATCTCACTTAAAGTTTTCACACTGTATTAAAAAAAGTCTGTTTGAGAGAGAGATTAGCTGCACATTAAAAAATAAGAACGCAATGTGTAACAGAAGAACCRCTGGAATCGATGGGAAAATGCTGGAATGCCTGGCAGGAGTTGGATGCTTTGGGAGGATGCACCTTTCGCCCTGTGTCCTGAAAGAAGCAAAGGGAGGGAGGGCTGGTAGCAAAAAGGGATCCAGATGCACTGGGAGCTGGCTGAAGAGGCAGCCGTTCCACTGGAACAACAAAATCAGACGGATTTTGAATAATGAAGATGACTGTGTTTTAAGGTAATTTGGTAATCACAGAAATGGAATAGTGGGTTATTGGACACATTGGACTGAGGGAAAATATATTCCCTAGKAAGATTTGTTTTTTTAAAACTCACGAAATCAGAGTTTTTCACTTCCCTTCCCCAATACCACTGAACAGGGCGCCCTTAATGCAGAAACGGCTCCGTTCCTGGGGGTCCTCGCAGAGACGCTGCTGCTCACCCAGCCAAGGCAGGGCAACACGGCGCACGCCTCCCCTTCCCTGAGTAAAGGGCATATTGGTTTTAAAAAACACAGCCAAACACTAACGCCTCCCCTCCCTCCTGCTGCTTTTGCTCCAGAGACTGCAGCTCTGCTCCCAAGGGATCAATAGGCTCTATTGGATTCACGAGGCCTGTGCTCAGGTCTTCTAAGATCAGGAAAATAACAAGGCAATCAAAGGATGCGTCGCGTTTCCAAGGACAGTCGAAGACAAGATCCTGGGGCGTAATTTTCCAGCCTCAGTAAGAGGGTAAAACAGAGACTGAGCGGGGAGTCCTGCTTCCAAAGCAGCCATCAGGGAGAAGTGATGGAGCTTGCTGTTTATTTCCAAGAGAGAATCATTTCATTTCTCACTAAACCATTTTAGTGTCCAAAGACTGAAAATGTAGCAAGGGCTTCATCATGCAGGATGGTGTCAGTTAAACTCATGTGGGCTCTCAATGGGTTTTCCAGCTACACAAAGATGACAACATCCAGAAGGACCAAGGGGAAACCTCCCTGTGCCCCCGCAGGGGGCTCTGGAGAAAAGGCAAGTTTTTCTCCCTGGGCCTCCCTACCTCACTCCTGGCTGTCTCTCAATCTCTGGCTTCATGATGGCAAAAATTACTCATATTCCGTGGCACTTGCATATATATCTGAGCATCTTCCCAACATTTCCAACAGCAATGAAGTGGGCTCGGGGGCTTCTAAGAATAAAATGGAAGCTTTCACTATAGACATGACTAACCAAGGGCAAATGGGCATCTGCTTGCTGTAAAATATGTAGGTTTTTTTTACACTCATCATCTAGTGCTTGAGTGGATGACTTGACAGAAAAGTACAGCCCACACTTCTGAGGATCCATCTCTGTTTTTGGCATCTTCCATTTTTCAGGTAGAAACAAGCTTGTTTTTTTATGTAGAAAAAAGAAGTGAAATATCCTAACTAAAAGCAAAAACTGCAAATACTATAAACTCAGCAGTATGTTAAAGTAAACAATCACTTGATGGTAAAGCAGGTGAAGTATCCAAAAAGCTCCGTTTTAATAATATTTATTTGCAATCATTAGTTTTAAATGGGAAACTATTTACAAGCACACACTAAGATAACCAAAATAGAGTGAACATAAAAGAAATCTGTTTGAAGGTCCTTTTCAGATATTTCAAATATTTTATTAAATATTTTATTCAGTTTCATGATCACAGTTTAATGTACTTTAGCATGTTATACACATGACTTAACATGTGCACTTAAAAATAGCAAATTAGAGGATCTTGAAGAAAAAAAAAAACGGCATTTTATAAATGTGCTTATTGACCTTAACTATACACACCTAAGAAGGCAGTAGCTCTGTTATACAATTGATGGAGATAAACTGTTGTAAGGCATGTTTACACCAAGCTTTGAAGAGAATAAAGCCAAACACCGGGTCAAAATTCAGTGGAATTATGTGTGAGAACAGAAGTTGACGGATTGGGCCCTACGAGAAGAGATCATAGCAAATCATTTATGTTAAAACTATCAAGGGAGACGGGTTACTCAAAGAGAGCACTGCTGGAAAAGATTTCCTTAGCGTCCAGGTCAGCAGGATCTGTGTTTCTGTAGATGTTTTCGGAAAACCACACGTAATGCGCAGGGGAGAAACCGAAACCTACCCAGCCAGCCTGGAAGCAGCGCTCCGAGACACCCCGTGTTGTTCCGTGACGGGACACGGGAGCCTCACGCACAGGCAACACGCGGCCAGGCACAGCCCTCTGGGGTGTGTGGGCACACGTACGTGTACGTATACATATACACACGTGTACATACACGTATACACAGACACGTACATCTCTCTCTCTGCTTCTGTCACCTCCAACGCCCCAAGCACTGACTAGAGGTGACGGAGCGTGTGGCGGGAGCAGCTGCCTGGCACGTGCTGACAGTCAAGGCCCCGGAGCTAGGAGACGACCCTTTGGGAGAACCCGGCGCACGCGAAGCCACCTGCGTTTGGTTTCAAAACGCCGTCTGAACAGGGGCCGAACGGCCACGCGTCCGTCGGGGGTGTCACGCGAGCCCAACGGGGCTCCTCCTATGGCTAAGGGCGGCGCTGCTGTCATATCAGGGCGGCCTTCAGCGTTAGTCCAGGCCTGTGCCTGAGCTGGAAGCTGAGGGGCTCAGATCCTCCTAGGCTGCTGCCCTACAGGGACGCGTGGGGCAACACACGAGCTTCCTGYGAGCTTCTTCTCTCTTCAGCAGGGGATGCTGAATGCAGAAATGACTGTGACAGCCCTTGGGGCAGGGAACAAGCCTCACGGTGCCTTTTCACTGGGGGATTCAGAGGCAGATGCCTCTTTCACAGCCCAAACACATTGGCTGGTGGCTCTCGGTGCCCTGAGAGTGACAGCTYGAGGTGACAGCCCCACAGCACACACAAGGTCAGGAGAACGCCACACGCAGCACGAGACACGGCAGAGACACCGGAGCCCTACAGCGCGGCACAACCCGGCACGGCAACCGGCCGGCACCTGGTGGGGAGCGCAGGGCGGGCAACGCGCGCCACGGCGACGCCTCCCTCCGAGATCCGGCCTGCAGGCTCGCCGCAGCTCCCGCATGGACACCCGCCTCGCCGCTCTACCCTGGGCGACAGCCGGAGCCACCGCCAGAGCCACCAGCACATCCTCCGCGCCTGCAACGTGTCCCGGCGAGCCCGAGCCACCGGGTCCGCATCCCGACACCCGCACTGCTACTGCAGCACCCCCGGGCTGCCCGGCGCGTGCAGCCGAGCGCTGCCGCCCAACGGTGCTCCGCGGAGGCACGCGGGGAACCCGCGGCTGACACGCTTACACGGTGAAGCYGGAAAGCAAAGGCAAGGTAACTAAAGTAGTCTTTTAGGAGAGGTAGCCGTATTAGACTCAGCATTCAAAGAAAGGGAGTGCACTCGAAAGATCAACATACATTATAATCTCATGTAGACCCATCATGTTTTTAATCTTTCCTACATTTTTCTTTTGCAGAATGTATACATACACACGCACGCACCCACACACACATTATATATATATATATTTATAAAAAAATCTTTTTTTTTTCCTAACTCCCCTTTGCTGCTGCAACTTCACCACACTGAGAATGAGGCSAGTTTTCCTTCCATTCACCCTCTGCCAGCCGCCCCACGCCTACAASCGCAGCCTTCAGCGCCCGTCGGGCAGCTGCACAGGCAGCAGCAACCAGAGCCGCCTCTGTTTAACACCCCGCTCCCGGGGAGGGCACCCCAAAGCCGGCGGCACCGCCACGGCGCCCGCAGGAGCCTGCCGGACACCAGGGAGGCTGCGGACGGCTCCTCAGGCCGGGCCTGCAAAGGYGGCTCCTTGGGCCTGGCCTGCACAGGCAGCTCCTCAGGCCGGGCCTGCAAAGGCAGCTCCTTGGGCCTGGCCTGCACAGGCGGCTCCTCAGGCCGGGCCTGCAAAGGCAGCTCCTTGGGCCTGGCCTGCACAGGTGGCTCCTCAGGCCGGGCCTGCAAAGGCAGCTCCTTGGGCCTGGCCTGCACAGGCGGCTCCTCAGGCCGGGCCTGCAAAGGCGGCTCCTCGGGCCTGGCCTGCAAAGGTGGCTCCTCAGGCTGGGCCCACAAAGGCGGCTCCTCAGGCCGGGCCCACCAAGGCAGGCCCCGCTCACACAGCGGCAGCGGAGGCGGGCAGGCGAGCGCCGCGTCCCCCGCGCCCGTGCGCCCCGTGCCCCTTTCCAACACCAACACTCATGGCCGCCACCGCGGGAGTCGCGCGCCAAGGCCAGAAAACACAAACCAGGCTCGCAAGAAGTCTCCTGCTTCCCACGACTTTGGGATATCGGGTTAGTATAAAAGAGCATTCAGTCATCTTAAATAAATATACTCTATTTCTGAAATCACAGCACATTCAAGGGGTAACTACTGCCACACTCAGAGCAGCAAGTAAATCTCCATACATGTTTTCGGTAGATTTGGTCTAACAATCTGGAAAAAAAATCACCTAATGCGGGGATAAGAATCTGCATCTCAAATGCTCTGCAGAACGCATTTCCCATACCTGTATACAGTACTAGAACAATTAAGAAGACATTACAGTAATTTTCTCCCAGCTGCGTATGTCTGTAGCTTCAGCTACGATCATATACTTTGTATACCTCAAAACAATATGTGAAATATCAAAGATCGCTAAATAAATAAAAGCCAAGGAAAACTGGGACAGTACTGCATTTTACACTTGAGACAAGATTCCCCGCTCCCATGGATAAGTCATAGAGGAGGACTACGATAATTGCTTTTTTTTTTCTTTTTCTTTTTTTTTTTTTAAGAAAGATTTATACACAGGTTCAGATCCAGAAAATAATGTGAAATGCATAAATATTGATAGCTTTAGCTAAGTTAAAATGGGTTCAGTAAAGTATGATACAACATATTCAGAATAAACAAAGCAGAAAAGCATCATATTTTGGTTTGCTTGAGATATACATAAGGTGCAACAATTTCTTCTCTAGAGGCATTTGTGGATAACGGGTAACAGTGTTTGCTGGTATACTGCAGTACACACGATAGCAATATGATTTTCCAAAATGAAAGCAGCTGAAATTAATAAAAATTAAAACAAAACAAACAAACACGAGAGGAAAAGAAAAGGAAAAAAAAAAAAAAGAAACCCAATACAGTAAAATATTGGTCTGATTTTTTTTTTTGTTGTGCTAACAGATTTTGTTACCTGAAAATACTGATACCCCTTCTAGTAGATTCAGGGAAAATTCTAGCTACTGAAATCAAGACATCACTCGGAGAACCAACAAAGGCAAATGCCTAGTGAACTATAAAGCTTTGCAGGATTTCTGCTACTCTCAGTGCCTAATCGCTTAAAAATTAAGCATATCTACAAAAAGGTTTATAAGTATCTGAAAACAGTCATATCCAGTAAACTGACCCAACCCTACCCCCTCTCTAAGGGAAAGTCAAGGAAAAGCAGATCAAGTAAGATATTAATTCATATAGAAAAAAGTAATTTTCTGTTTCTTTTAAAAAAGGTACCATTAATATACAGAAATATCTTCAGGAACAATATTGAAATTTAAATTGAGGAAGGATGGGGTGCTTTGACAAAAATATATCTACTCTAAGGGTTTCTAGAGAAATAAGTTAGTACCATTGTCAACGTGAACGGCCTGCACTGTAACATATTTGGATTTCAGCTAATTATAAAGTGGTCCAAAACTCCAACAGCCACCTCACCGTGACCCTATCGCTTTAAGCTTTTCCTGTCTTGTTAAAATAACTTACAAAAACCTTAATAAAATCTTATTAAAAATACTGCCATAGACGGCAATGGCATTCTAGGGGGGCTCTAGGTCATGAATTTACCTGGGTTTTTAAACAGCMTTTTTTCACTGACTCGTTAGCTCTTAAATTTTATTGTTCTTTTGTTGCTGCTGTTCCCTTCTTCCAACACAGGCATCCTTGATGGTGCTGTCCTACTGATGCTACCTGCCTTTTTGCGAGACCTTCAGCCGCCGTTACAGCTCGTGTGGCACGTTGTGTGTCATTTCTCAACCAGGAACCAAAGACTTGCGCTTCGCTACGACAACGAAAGGCAAAACCTAGCAAGCGTTAATAGAGTTACTGTCCGTATGGCTATTACATCAAATTAGTTACAAAATAACCCCAAAACACTTTTATCAGTTCAGTCAAGTATAAATAAGAATGCCTGATAGAACGATGTAAACTCTCATCATTTAAAGACTTAATTCAAAGAACTTCAAACTCAACCTAATACTATCAAAAGTTCAGCCAGTTTGACGAAGACTAATAGAAAATTATTGCTGGAGTCCAATTTGGTAAATTGTTGTGCTACAATGCAAAGAGTAGGGAAACATCTTGTGCTATAGAAGAAGTACCCTGTTGAACTTGTAGCTTTCGATTAATTACTAGTGATCATTTTGCGTCTGTCGGTAGGAATCAATGCTTGGTTGTACAATAGTGTAAGTCAAGATAGTGAAGGCAGCTGGCCAAGTGATACACGTGGCCCGGCTTTTGGGATGTATCTATGAGAGCAAAACACAAAAATCCAACAGAAGCAGAGACAGAAACTGGCAAATGAATCTCTGTTTGGTGGTCTGAATTCAGTCGCGCGTTACTCTTCAGTCGTCGTTTACCTGCGTACAACTTCACCGACACAAACTGCAATTGGCCCTTCATGCAACCTATGAAGCCAATTTAGACTGTGCATAGTAACTGCAATGATGCCAGCGCCTGTCACATGTGAAAGGTGTGTCTATCGGTGTGAATGCATATTGAAAAGCCACGTTTTCAGGTTTTTCAGAATGGTGAAATAATACTAAGGTCACTTCTGAACAACATATTTGCAGTACTTTTTGTTTACAGGAACATTTCACCAAGTCACTCAGGTAATCTATGCAAAAATAAAGGAACCCTCCAAGGCATGAGAGACAAGTCAATCATCTGCAGTATCTCTCTCTTCCATACACCACTCCTTTTTCTAATGCACATCATCCTGGTTACTCAAAGCTAAATTAAAAAACAAACAAAACCCAAATATAGCCTGTCAGAAATTTTTGCCAGTAAACTCTACCACTCCGGTGGCAAATATAAAAGTGCAGAACATCTGGACCACATGGCTGCCCAAACACCGCTAACAATGGTACATCTGTCCAGGCTGCCTTGAGTTCTCTGGAGCAGGTTTTAAATTCATTCTACAATATAAACGTAGGCATAACCTATTAATATAAACCATCTTAGAACTTAAATCTTCATGTACAAAAATGACTAAGAATATCTAATAATAACTAGTGCAGTGCGTCAGTGTTGTTGTTGTTGTTGTTGTATTTTTTCTCTTTTCATTTAGAATAACTAGGTATTATACGAAACTAGTTGCCATACTCTCTGGTTGGTAAAAGAGACGCCGTGTGAGCTACAGTAAAAGGAAGGCAGCCTTTTCCACATCAACCACCCATTTACTGCTTAAAAGCCTTCGCCAGAAAGCGAGCTCTGGGATCATTCCGTTTCTGTTCATTAAGAGACAAATAACATCACCCTCCTACACACACTGGGTTCCGATTTGAGGACCTGGCCCAAGTTGCTAATGTCTGGCTTCCAGTGAATTCTGGGCCACTCAGAGCAATAAGCACTTGCTTGCAGTCTATAGTTTCCATCACATGGACTGACTAGCTTCCCTTGGTAAAGACAAGGCTAGGATATTAGGTAAAGCACAATGTTTTACAATAGAGTGGAGCTTCACTGGTCAGCGCAGGAGATCAGCACTGGAGCCTGAGACATGTCGTTGGGCTGTCCCTCGTGCGGCAGAGGCGGCGCCCTCTGGCTCCTGCAAGAGAGAAGGAGAAAGAGGCTCCGTCACCACGCGCACCAGCGGGGCTGCAGAGCCGCACCAGGG